TTTTATGCCTTTAAAAGAGAAGGTCTTTTTGCATTGATGTAATTAGGAATTCTGTTGGCTTCATGTACTTGTAAGTCCAATTACTTCTCTAGGTTTGGGAGGTTCTCAGCTGTTATTTCTTTGAACAAGCTCTCTCCTTCTTTCTTCCTGCCTTCTCCCTCTGGAATACCAGTAATCCTTATGTTGCTTTTCCTAATTGAGTTGAATATTTCTTGGAGACTTTCTTCACTTTTTTTTTTTAAATCTTAGTTCTCTCTCCTCCTCCACCTGGAGCATTTCTATATTTCTATCCTCTAAATTACTAATTCTCTCCTCCATAGTGTCAGCTCTATTTTTTATTGATTCTAAATTATTTTTTACCTCATTAATTGTCTTCTTCATATCCAGAATTTCTGTTTGGTTCTTTTTAGAGTTTCAGTCTCTTTGGCGAAATATTCCTTGTGTTCATTAATTTTGTTCCTGAGCTCATTGAACTGTCTCTATGAGTTTTCTTGTAATTCATTGAGTTTCTTTATGATAACTATTTAGAATTCTCTGTCATTTAGATTGTAAATTTCTTTGAGTTCAGGATTTGTTTTTGGAGACTTGTCATTTTCCTTCTGCTCTGAAGAGTTAATGTAATTCTTCCTGGTGTTTGATGAAGTGATCCTTTGCTGGCACATTTGTAGTAGTATCGGGTTGCAGATTCCACCTGCCACCACTGGGGGGGCAGGAACTGCGTTTTCTGATCCTGAACCGCCTGTAGGGAGTTGTACCAGTAGGACTTCTCTGAGTTTGCCCACTGGCCACAGCCACTTGGCAGGTCACACATGCACGTGGGGCCTATGTGCTCCACCACCAGGTCCCTCTGGTGCAGGACCACTGTGCTCCGCAGGGGACCAGCTGAGCTGGTGCATTGGGCGGGAGAGGAACGTCGCTTTCTTCCATGTGCAGGCCGTCTGTGTGCTTTCTGGTGGCTTGACTGAGCTACTGTGCATGAGGAGGGCTCCTTCTCAGGGTCTAAGTCACGCTACTCAATGGGGAGCCTTCCCATGGGCGGGGCCGCTCCGGCACAGTGGATGATCCCACAGGCCAGGCTACAACTCCGAAAGTGTTCACACAGGCTGGGCTGCCCTCACCTCCTCTTACAGTCTTGCTGCCTGCTGTGTGAGGACCCACAACCTAGGTTGCTGCTGCTGGGGAGCAGAATTTCCTCTGCCTCCCAGGGATCCAGTCCACCTACCTTCAGGTGCATGGCTGCATGGATCTCTCAGACATCTTGTTGCGCTGTGCAGGGAATCCTCTGCTAGTTAATAAATGTCCATTTAGTTGTAGCTTAGAGGGGAGAGGCAAAGTGAACAACTCACTCTGCGATGATACTGACATCACTTAACACCCAACAACACACCTTCATTTCTTTTTTTTAAATTGAGTTTGTAGGACAAATAAGTTTGTTCTCAGTTTTTATGCTTACAAAAATATATTCTTTGCCTGTATTCAGTCAGGACTTTCCTAAGGGATGTGATTTTCTTTATTTGGAAGTAAAGTTTAACTTTCTTGAGGACCAACAGTAAATGTTACTTTGAATTAACATGTTTTCTGTTTTTTTCTTGTTATCTCTTTTTTGCTTCATAAGCAAAATCATTATATATAGATTACATGAGAACAGAATGTTTGATCTCTCCCTTGATGTGTTAATTATCACCTTGATTGCTGGATTATTTTACAGGCCAGTGGTAGTTATTCATTAGAAGTAGCAAGTGGGGTCGGCCCTGTGGCGCAGTGGTTAAGTATACACATTCCGCTTCAGTGGCCTGGGGTTCACCGGTTCGGATCCCGAATGTGGACATGGCACCGTTTGGCATGCCATGCTGTGGTAGGTGTCCCACATATAAAGTAGAGGAAGATGGGCATGGATGTTAACTCAAGGCCAGTCTTTCTCAGCGAAAAGAGGAGGATTGGCAGCAGATGTTAGCTCAGAGCTAATCTTCCTCAAAAAAAAAAAGTAGCAAGCAAGATATCATTATGTGTCTTCCTTTTGCCAAATTCATTTTAGAACTATTATGATTATATCACTAATTTTCAAAATTTTTCCAGCCATGAAACCCTTTCCTCAAACTTTTACGTGGAACCCCAACATGTAAATCAGATAAAGTGGAGCTTATCTGTTTGAAGCTGTGACAGAGACCTGAAGCCCCTCCTGGCTGTTGTGTCTAGTCTTCTAACCTCCTTCTCTTCCATGGAAATCCTAGAGCTACTTAAAGCATAGTTTGAGAGCCACTGATAGGTAATACTTTATAGAAATGCTGATAGCAAACTATTTTAAAATTGAAAGTGAAAAGATATTTAGACCCCAAATTGGTTGACACTTCCAGTCTATTCTCTTGTTGGGTGATAGAATGGTACCATGACAAATAACTGCCCAAAGAGCAAATAAGCTTGTACTAGAGTTATTTAGACAGAAATTGGATGTCTTCTTTTAAGGAACGTTGTCAAAGTGGTTCCTTTGTCAGTGGGAGGTTGGGCTACTGTTACATCTGCAGTCTCTTCCATACCATGATTCTCTGGTCTTAGGTGTCTACATTTATCCTACCTCATAAATATTTACTATGATGGAGGTCTGTTTTATCTTTCATTTCTTCAAATTTGTGATATGGCATATATCTAACAGGCAGTGTGTTTGGATGCAGGGGTACTGTTTAAACAAATAAGATACAATCTACCATTAAGGAAATAGAAAGTTGCTGTAAGGTTTGATGAGTTCAGTAATAGAAGTAAGCGTAGGGTGTTAATGGGAATCATATGAAATGGAAGGACCTAACCCAGGCCAGGTAGGGACTTGTCAGAAAAATTGCTAGCTTCCCCAAAGACTCCAAGCTGACTCTTTCAAGATGAGTAGACTTTAACCAGAAGCAAGTAGGGAAAAGTCTTTCCAGGCCAAAGGTCGAACATATACAGAGGCTCTGAAAGAGTACATGCCTTGTTTGGAGAACTGTTAAGTAGTTTAGTACGGCTGGAGCTTAGCATGTGAATGGGGACTGTTGAGTGAAGCCAGATGAAAAAGGACTGTGTTTGCCTTGCTTAGGAATTTGGGCTTTATCTTGAAAGTGATGTGAAGCGATTGAAGGATTTTAAGCACAGTAAATTACATGGTCAGATTTGTGTTTTAGAAAGCACTCTGGCAGTAGTCAGGAGAACAGATTGGAATGAACCTCTCTTGGAAGCAAAGAGACCATAAAGTAATAGGCTTTTGTAATAATTTAAGCAAAAATGTCTGAGGGAGGGTAGAACTGATGTGGTGGGTAGGAGAATGAATTCAAGATTTACTAAGGAGATTAAATCAATAGAGTTATTGGTCAGAGAAAGAGTGAATGCAAGGGTGACTTTCAGGTGTCTGACTTTGCCACCTGGGTAGGAGGGTAGTCTTTTTCGCTAAGAGAAAGAAATTAAGTAAGGAATCATATAGACTTTTTGCCTCAAGGTTCTTAGAGTGCCAACTTGAGCAAGGGTATAGGTGCTTCTTATTTTCTTATATTTGTATTTGGGTTTATTTTTAAAATGTGATATGAAAGAGTAACAGGATGTATTATCAAGGAAGGTATGGAATTCCTTTTGGAAGTCTATTAGATTAAGGTAGACTCTTATTTAAGGTAATTCAGGAATGGGTGATTTGCTTAAAGGCAAAGGAATGGACTACCTTTTGTCCAGTTCTTTGATTATTGAATATCTACTTTATATATTCTATAAATCAATTTTTAGTTGGGAAATATATTCATTTTTAGAAAATCCAGGGATTTTTACATTGCCATTCTGTCAGGATTTTTCTTTTCAGAGATGTGGTGAGATTGGTTTGTCTGTGTAAATTAGCTAATTTGATAATAGTTCTACTGTGGCATTATGTATTTTAAAACACAAAATGATTTTCCTTAGAATGCAAACTTTGATTTTTAAGTCTTTCTTTGGTGTCGTATGGGAATTAATGTTCAATCCTTGTTATTTAACACTCCTGACAGAGAAGATGTTTCCTTTATATAGCTTTGTCATATCATTTTCTCAAGTTGAGATCTCTTTTAGGTTGGTTGAGGTGCTTAAATCCTTCAGGGAAAGAATGTGCAATGCTCCTTAACAGAAAACTGGAGGTGCTGATTTCGTATTTTGAGATTTGTGCTGTAAAGGGATACTTATTCATTACCTTTATTCATTGGTTCTTGAATGTTCTGTTGTTATCAGTTAGGTCTTCTTTGTAGTTTTGTGATTTCTTCTGCACTTTTGAGAGCATTAGAGAAGTTCCTCTTGCAGTAACAAAACAAAAAACTGACTATAATTTAATGCTTTTTAATTTACAGTGTTAATCATGAGACTTGGACCATTGTCATTGAAAATTGTTACATTCTGATGTCATACAGCTTTGCAAGAAATTTCTTTACAATAATTTGATCTTAGTAGAACTTCTTCTTCAAGTATGTTTAAAGGAAACTTTATTTTATTCCTTTTTATAAAACATGTTTTATAAAAAGGCGATTATAGTCCCTGCTTTGCTTAGTGTCTTCTAATTGTAAGCCAAAAAGATTCCCTAAATTTCAGTGTTTCAGAATGGTTTTTTCCTAATAAGGATAAAAGTTTTCAGAAATTGTTAGCAGTCTATAATTTGGCGTACATGTACAAATTTCCTTATTCAGGAGTTAGAATGGATTTGAGAGGTAGATCAGTAGGGACACTACACATTGGATTATTACAATTAAAGTGCTTGAAGGTTCTTAGAATAACATCTCTTCAAATAGCACTAAGGTATTATTGTTTTACAGGAGCTAGTATTATAGTTGTTTTTTCAAAGAGTGAAATGATGTGTGTGTTTGAGCTTAGAGTTACTCTAAGAGGAAGTGCACTAATTGTTCATTTTGCCCTAAACCAAAATCTTTAATTTGGGACTTTAGTTTTTTATTAGTATGGTAATCAGTTTAATTTTAAATATATGAGAAGGAAATAAGTTCTTTTTCATATTTCTCTTACTCTGTCTACAGGTTGTGAAAATTAAAATGAACAAACTAAGGCAAAGTTTTAGGAGAAAGAAAGATGTTTATGTTCCAGAGGCCAGTCGTCCACATCAGTGGCAGACAGATGAAGAAGGGGTTCGTACTGGAAAATGTAGCTTCCCAGTTAAGGTAAGAGCTCATGTTTCTATACATCTAGATGTGGAAAAGAATTAACAGTCTATTGTATGTGAAACCCCATTAATTAGGACAATTAAAAGAGAACCCTCTAAAAACTAATCCCTTCATACTCTGCTTCAGTGGTAGAATTAATAAGCAGAAAAATATCGATCATAAATAGAGATCATAAATAGAGATTCTGGTATATAACCTGGAATCATTACAACTACAATCACCTCTGATGAGAATACTAATCCTGAAATATTTAAAAATCCTGAATTATCAGGAATCAAATTATTATCCGCAGGATATGCTTACTAAGTGATGGGGCACACAGGGGGCGTTCTCCTTTCTTGAACACAGGCCTGGTGTGTTCTAGAACATCTTAAATCAGAAGAGTTAAACCAAAAGAGGTTTTTTCTTTAATCTTGTGACTTTAATTGTATAGAGGTTGTTTAAACTAATGCCTTCATTTGTCAGATCAGAAAATGGAAGCTGAAACACTTTAAAAACATAGTGAAGTTCTAGAGAAGGGGGCGTCATACAGGTGCTTTTTTTACTAGACATTGGAGAAGAAGCATCATATTTAAACTCATGGAAGAAATGTACATGCTGTACTGTTCAGTGAAAAGCAATTTATAATTATATGAGCATGCTGTGAGATGTATTAAGTGTGGGGGCAAAAATTAGAAGGAACTAAACCAAAATGTTAATATCTTGAAGAAAAAAATTTAGTTTAATATAAAATTTAACATTTTTGTCTATTTTCTGTGTACTCTTAAGTGTGAATTTTCTTATTCTGATTTTCTCCTCCTTTTTACTGCCTTAGTACCATTGATTAAAACATGGACGAAAACTTCAGAAAGGAAAAGAATCTGTATGACAGGAAAAGTGATTTGTAGACTCTATGGTTAAATAAATACATGGTTTTTATTTTATTTTTTGCTTGGAAAGATTCCCCCTGAGCTAACATCTGTTGCCAGTCTTCCTCTTCCCCCTGCCCCCCCAAAGCCCCAGTACATAGCTGTATGTTCTAGTTGGAAGTCCTTCTAGTTCTTTTGTGTGAGCCACCACCACAGCATGGCTACTGACAGATGAGTGGTGTGGTTCTGCGCCTGGGAACTGAGCCTGGGCCACTGAAGTGGAGTGCACTAAACTTTAACCACTGGGCCACCAGTGCTGGCTCTACATGGTTTTTAAAATACACAAATTTTTCCAGTCTTTTCAATAACTAAGCATTTTCCTAATCACTTAGCTTTGTCTATTTAACTTATTTGCTGAAATTTCTCTTATAGGAATAACAAACAAATATTTTAATTTTAAATGTTTAGTATGATATTAAAATATAAAAAAGAAAAAAACACCCCTCTTACATAAAAACTAACCCTCTTCTCTACCTACCCCCAACCCCCACCCACCAATAGTAGGTTCATTTTGATTACACAAGTTCAGTATTAAGTATATGGAAATGGATGCTTTTACACACTGTTGATTGCTTGGAGTATAAGCCTTACTTAGGAGGGCAGTTTGGAAATATCAGTTAAAATTTTAAATGCACTTTTCATTTGACCAGCAGTCTTACATTCAGTTACATTTAAGTACATTCATAGATATACTGGCATAAGTGGTCATCTAGCATTGTTTGTAATAGCAAAAACTGGAAACAAGTTAAATGCCCATCATTCTGGGGTTTGATAAAGAAGTTATGACATCCGTTAAGTGGAATTCTTTGCCACTACTAAAAAAAGAATAAAGTAGATCTGTAATCGTATACATATTCGGTAAATTTTTTTTGAGCACCTGCTATGTGCCAAGCATATGCTAAGTGGTAAGCAAAGAAGATATAGTTCTTGTTCTTGTGGAGCTTATAGTCTCCCTGTGGGAGAGACAGACTTTAATTAGGTATATGTATTAATAATATAAGATTAAAAACTGAGATAAGAGCTTTTAAATAAGGGAGTCTGGTTCCTGTAAGAGCATGTAACAAAAAAACTTGACCTAGACTGGAGGATCAAGGAAGGCTTCCCTGAGAAAGTAAAGTTTGACCTGATAGGTAAAGATTGAGTAGGAATGAATTAGGTGAAAAGGTAGAGCATTTCAAAATTATGGAAAGTATGTATACATAGGCCCTGGTGGTAGAGGAAAGAGTGATATTAGGGAGCTAAAGGAAGACTGTAGTGTAAGAAGGTAAATGAGATGAACCTGTATAGAAGTACGACAGGGCTTTGTAGGCCATGTTAAGGATTTTGGACTTTAAAAGTAATGGGAAGCCATTAAGTGATGTGGTTTTTTCATTATTTATTTTATTGTGGTAAAATATACATAATGTAAAATTTACCATTTTAACCATTTCTAAGTGTACAGTACAGTGATATTAATAACATTCATATTTATATACAGTCATTGGCACCATCCATCTCCAGAACTTTTTATCTTCCCAAACTAGGAGTCTGGCTGCACTGTGGTTTGGAGGTAGCCCATAGTGGATGCAGGGAGTCTGGTGAAAGATTATTACAATAATCCAGAGGAGAAATAATGGTATACTGGACTAGGGTAGTGACTGTGGAGATGAAAAGTAATGAAGTAAATTGAGAGATAATTAAGAGATAAAGGCAACAGGAATTGGAGATGGACTGGATCTAGGCAATGAAAAAAGATGGTTTTAAGGATGACACCTAGTTTCTTGTCCCACACTGATAGAAGTGATGATCATTGACATAGGAAACACTGAAAGAATAGTCTTTGCATAAGCTCATACAGAAAGATGACTTTAGTGTATTACTATGTGATAAAGGCAAGGTACAGAACAGCGTATGTGGTATGATTCTGTTTATAGTTAAAAAGAATAGAACATATATATGCTTATATGTATGTAAGAAATATCTGTAAGAAGTCACAAGTAACTTGGAATTACAGAATGAGAATAAAGCATTGGGGATCTTTTTTTTTAATTATTTTATTGTTTCCTTTTTCTCACCAAAGCCCCCCAGAACATAGTTGTACATTCTTAGTTGTGGGTCCTTCCAGTTGCAGCATGTGGGATGCCGCCTCAGCATGGCTTGATGAGCAGTGCCATGTTCGTGCCCAGGATTCGAAGTGACGAAACACTGGGCCACCGCAGCGGAGCTCACGAACTTAACCACTCGGCCACCGGGCCGGACCCAGGATTGGGGATCTTTTCTTTTTCAGTGTATATCATTTGGAACTAGTGACATTTCTTATCATGAGCATTTATCATACTTGTAATACATAAGCATATATATATTTTTTAAATCTCATTCACAGGATTTTGAGAGGCTGGTATACAATGTTGAAATAATTGAAGTACAGTTAATTGAAGCACTTCTAATTGGCTATGAAATGTATAGCTTTTAAGTATTTTGTGTGAGATAAATAAGGTTCAGTATCTTTCAGTATAATTCTCATTTGTCATAAGAAGGAGCCGAGTGGGATGTGCTTTAGAGATAAGCACATAAGATATAAGATTTATATCTTATGTAGGTAGGACAGCTTATTTAGGGTGTTTTCTGTATGATCTTTTCCAAATGGCCTTTTGAAATCCTTTCTACAAGACATTCGTCTCTCTACTATGTTGTGCCCTCCTTACCTGCCTTCCCTCCCCACTCCACCCCATCCCATTCCACACACTTACATAAAAGTGAACCATGATAGGATAGGAAAATCAGAACCTGAATTTTTTTTCCATGGCCTAGAAATAGATGCATTTCCTCAGTCAGATATGGCTGGGCAAATGATATCTCATCTGGCCTTACATTAGAGGCCGCTGAATTCTGAACTAGTGATGAATTGGTATAAAAAGTTTCCCATGTAGGCAACTGGTAGGGTGGTGGGCATGCTCACTGAAGATGAACACATTTAGGGGTAGAGAAGATGAGTTCCTTTTGAGGGGCCTATGAGACATGTACATGCAGATCCACACTGACCACAAAAGCGCCGTGAGTTTTGATTTTAAGGTTACAGGTAATTTTACTGAGTAGGCGAGTTTGCAAATATGGAATCCTTGAATAATGAGGGTTGACTATAGATAAATTATCATTGAAGTCATAAGTAAGTGAGATTGCCTACGGGAAGTGAGAAGAGGACCTAGGACAAAACCTGTAGAAGAGGGCCTAGGACAAACATAGAAGGGACAAGCACTGAAATAATGTCTTCAAAGGAGAACAAAAATGACTAGCCAGAGAGGTAGAAGGGAATCCTAGAGAGTGTGCTCTCAGAAGCCAAGGTTTCAAGGAAGGAGAAAGTGGTCAAATGCTATAAAGAGATCAAATAAGAAATAAAACTTCATTAGATTAAAAATTTGAAAGTCTTAGTGACTTTGATGATAGCACTTAGAGTGGAGTCATGAGGATGGAATCTAGACTAAGGGGTGAATGGAAGCATAAGATAGACAGAGACAACAAATCTAGAGATGACTAGTTCAAGAAGTTTGTCTGGAAAGATTGTGTGAGGATGGGGAGGGGTGGAAGGGAAGTTACTAGAAGAGGCACAAGGAAACTTTGGGTGGTGATGGCCGTTTAGTATGTTGATTGTGACGATGGTTTCTCAGGTATATGCATATTTCAAAAACTCGGCAAATTGTATATTTTAAATATATATAGTTCATCGTATGTCAATTATACCTCAATAAAGTGGGTAATTATTTTTTCCAAAGATTGGCACCTGAGCTAACAACTGTTGCCAATCTTCTTCTTTTTTTTTCCTTCTGCTTTTTCTTCCCCAAATCCCCCCAGTACATAGTTGTATATTTTAGACATGGGTCACTCTAGTTGTGGCATGTGGGAGGCCCCCTCAACATGGCCTTATGAGCTGTGGCATGTCCGCACCCAGGATCTGAACTGGCGAAACCCTGGACCACTGAAGTGGAGCGCGCGAACTTAACCACTCGGCCACGGGGCCGGCCCTGGTAATTTTTTTTTTAATGAAAAAGTTTGTCTTCAAAGGAGAACAGAAAGGCAGAGTAGTAACAAGAGTGTGAGGTTGAGAAACTTTGT